AAAAAATTTCAAGTGCGTTCCAAAATTAATAATTGAGCGCGTTCCGATTTTATTATACTGGGTGGTCCGAACAGTATTTCGAAAACTTTGGCAGAATATTCTGCAGATAAAATAAGTAAAAAAGTTCATATAAATGTATGTCCTAAAATGCTTAGTTTCGGAGATACAGGGTGTAGAAGTTTCATTTTTATTTCGATTTTTTCCAAATAATTTCTGAAGTGACGTCAATATTTAATGAAAATTGGCGTCTGGGAGTTCTTTGATATGAGAAATTTGATTTTGGTGTCAATATGACTCCTACTTGTAGGTGGCGTCACCTACACGTGTTTTAACTGTTTTGAAGAGTAATAACTATACGTCCGTACCTGTGTAAAACTACTGAGTGAAAAAATATAGATTTCCGCGATTTTTTCTGTTAAAAATGTCTCTTGGTAAAAATCGCTAAGAGCAACCGTTCTCAAAATATTTAGAATGGAAATAGTCAATACATGTCATTATTGACAAAAAAATAAACATGTTGAGTAGATAGTAGATAGTGATTTGACTGAAATGATAAATTTGGGAACTTCTTATTTTATTAAATTAATAATACATAAGACCGTTTCTGTTGAAGTTTTGGTAGAAAAACATTTCAAATTTAGGATTTCAGTCTAATAACTATTTAGTCAACATGTTTAATTTATGTCAATGATGACAGATATTGATAACTTCGATTCCAAATATCTGGCGAACCATTACTCGTAGCGATTTTTACCAAGAGACCTTTTTTACGGAAAAAATATCGTAAATGTACATTTTTTACCTTAGTAGTTTTATACAGGTACGGACGAAAAGTTATTACTCTTAAAACCAGTTAAAAATATGTAGGTGGCGCCCTCTACAAGTAGTAGTCATATTGACATCAAAATCAAATTTCCCAAGTCAAAAAACTCCCAGACACCAATTTTAATCCAAATATTGACGTTACTTCAGAAATTATTTGAAAAAAATCGAAATAAAAATGAAACTTCTACACCCTGTATCTCCGAAACTAAGCATTTTAAGACATACATTAATACGAACTTTTTTATCTATTTTTAGCTGCAGAATATGCTGCCGAAGTTTCCGGAATACAGTTCCGAACTACCCTGTATTTAAGTATCTAAAAAACAATAGTATCCTTTATGTTGGTAACAAAACAATTCCTGACACACATAAATTTTTTGGCTATGATTTTAACCTAGTTCAAATCTTGCAGCGCTTTTAGATGGAGCGGACCATCCGCGACTTCGAGCAATTACCATGAGTTTATATGAACAATTTCACATGGGTCGCGTATGCTCCGTCCGGATGATTTCGTTCGACGGCTATCTTGAAAAAACACGCGTGCGAACAGCGCGGACGCTCCGCTTCATCTGAAAACGCTGTTGGTCTTTAAATGTTTTTGCAATAATAAAAAACCACTCCATTTAAGAATGTTAAAAATGTACGCGTTTATTAAAGATTTTTTATTACACAGCATACCAAAGCAACTTTAGGTCTATTAGCAATAAATCAAACAGATAAATGGATAGTCAACCATATTGCAGACAAGTTTTTAACATTCTTATGAGAATTTTTTAGTGATATTTATTTCATACATTGTTATAGACCATTTATCTAAAAAGGGAATATCATTTGTTTAGTTCTTAAAAGGTATAGTTACTGTGATTTTTTCGTTTAGATGTTCAAGATCTAAATTTTGTACAAGAAATCCTATTAAAGAAAAAAGTAATGTAAATAATTATGAATTGCCTTTTATTTAGAAATTCGGTAATTATTGGGAAAACTGAAAATCGTCCGATTTTCACCAAAATTGGTATACACTCTATTTTGAGGTCGTAGATTACGAATCTAAACTTTTTTCTTGGCGGTCTCTTACCGTTTTTCACAAAGACGGACAATTATTTCAACATGAATTTTTCTCTATTTCGGCCCTATAAAGTAATAATTTCACTATATTTTCATTATATTATAGTTTATCTAAAAGCCACACTTGATTGGGGAAAGAAAAATGTCCAAAATTTTACTGAAAAACATTATTCTTAACAAAATAACCTCTGAAAATAACAAAGAAAATTGAGACAAGATGGAAGTTTGACATTTGATATATCATTCTTTCTCTCTCCTATCTAATGAGAGAGACAAATATATTCTAGACCTAATCTAGAAATTTGAAAATTTGCAACGTTGCCATATCTTTTATTTTTTCGGGTGACTAGGGATTTTAAATTAGCTATTATGAGATCGACAATAATTAAATATACAATTAAACCACGAAGTTGCACGAAAGAGTTTTGATTGCATTGGTTACAACTTCCATGCGGAGGGTGTTAATGTTTTGTTGTTATATTATATCAAGTTATAAAGACTATTTATAACCGCGAAGTTGCACGAAAGAGTTTTGATTGCATTGGTTTTAACTTCTTTGCGGAGGCGGTTATTCTTTTTTTGATATAATATAACAACAAAAGATTAACACCCTCCGCATGGAAGCTGTAACCACTGCAATCAAAACTCTTTCGTGCAACTTCGTGGTTATAAATAGTCAGATCTCGTTGGTAAAATAGCAATTATGATCGCCTTTCGTAATCCCAGAATGAGCGAAAAAACACGCTAAATTTAGGTTTAGCATTGGCAACGTTGCTTTAAATGCCAGAAACACATAACCCAACATTTTCAGATTGTTTACAAATTTATTTTAGCAAATTTTCCTCTATTATGCATAGAATTGGTTAAAAAAGTAACAGAAAATAGCAATAACATCATTGTTTATTGAATACTTAACAAAACATGTGCTAGAAAACCTGAAAAATATGAGAAATTAAGAAAAAGTCGATGTTGAAATAATTCTCCGTTTTTCTGAAAAACGGTAAGAGACCGCCAAGAAAAAAGATTCGTAATCTACGACCTCAAAATAGGGTGTATACCAATTTTGGTGAAAATCTGACGATTTCCAGTTTTCCCAATAATTACCAGAAATTCTTCTGTGCTTAAGTTTTCTAAAAGGAACTCTAAACACGTTTCTGAAGTATTTACCCAGCAGCGTTCAGTCGATTGACTGTTTACTAATCAAGTTCTGTCAGATGTCCTTTCAACAACTTTGAAACCAGTAAAGTATGCAGTAAAGTACCAGTATACTTTTTGGAGTTAATCCAAGGTAAGTCAATCATATTCTTAATATCATTCTTTATAAAAAAATATGGTAATCGCAAAACTATTTCCGATGCACGTGATCAACGTTGAGTGACAAGCGATGGCGACAGCGCTGCCAGATTGTGATGGATTTATGAGATGAATATTAATTTAAAATTGACAAATAATATATTTATTATATCATTTTTTAAAGAGTTTTACGTTTTATTTTTAATTTAATAACTAATATTTTAGTAAATAACTGATTTATTTGTTTTATAGCTTATTTTACTTATTACATATATTAGCAAAAACTAGTCCATTATGAAGATTATTCTAAGCATTATTATGGGGTTATTTATTTATTTATTGATGTACGCCATAAGCGGTAATAACAAGTAAGAGGGGGCTATTAATGCACAAACTAATAATCACAGAATTTAATAAAAACTAAATTTGAAAGTGGTATAAAGTGCTTATCAATCAAACTTACTTCTCTGACTGCAGTCAAGGGTAATAAAGGACCTTGATTGTCACGTTCTCGTTCAAATTGTTTATCAGGGAAGCTACAAGCTCTTTGCTTCGACTGTTTAAACGCTTCGGCACGTTTTTAACACACAATTTCAAGAAATGCAATACAAAAATTCGAAATTTAATTTCTTAAAAGAACTATTTGTGCTTAAAAGTGCAATTTTTAAAAAAAGACTACGAAAATAGGCAAAAAAACGAGAATTGTTCACAAAGATTCAACAACAACATGATATTATACAAAATAATGACTGACGTTAGGATAATTGTCAAATAATAAAGGACAACATTGCTGAACACGGCGCAATGTGACCAACATAGCGATAATAAAATTCGGTTTAAACTCATTTTTGCAGCTTTAATCTAAATAAAATATCTGTTACAATCATTTGCTCTATAAAGTAAAATGAAGAGCTGCTCGATATCGTAAATTATACAACAAATTTAAACATTTTTGGCAAAATTTCATTTAGTCAGGTTTATAGACTTTAATGTCAACGTCGATATGATTGATGACGTGCATCAGAAAATGTTTTGCGATTACAATATGCTGCTTAATCCTCTGTTAAGAGGATGATTAACATCTGATTTTTCATGCATCCGTTATACGTTGATACGATGGTCCGACGCGACGGTGCTCTGATTGGTCATAGCGGTTTCGCGCCACTTTTCATCCGTAAATATTTTACTTCAGCCCGCCAACGGACCCGTTCATACGATAACGGACGTTTTGACACTTTTTTGACAAATTTAATCTAACCTTAATAAAAATATAAGTAAAATAGCAAAATCGTTATGGAAACGAAAATATAAAATGGCACTAACGCAACGTATATCCGATAAACGGAGGCATGAAAATGCAATAAATTTAAAAACTGCGTTATTTTCTAACCAATCAAAGTCTTTAAATTCTACCAATAAAATTAATAGCGTATCAACGTATCGTCGGACAACGGATGCATGAAAATCAAGCTTAACATTTTTTTAAAATTATTTCGTCGGTCGAGATAATTTAAATTAAGAACTCAAACCTTATACGTTGTAATGTAAGATTTCTATGGATAATGAATAGGAACTTTAAAGTTAAAGAACAGTATAGGAATAGTTTATTTATCACACAATACAGTTCACGAAAAAAATACACAATTAAAAAAATATATTATAAATAAAAGGCGAAATTTTCAAATGTTACATTTTTAAAAATACTTCTAAGATAATATAATCTGGCACAATTTTTGTTAAATAAAAACTCAAAATGAAATAAAAATATAAAAGTGACATTCAAATACCTTGTAAATTATACAATTAAAAAATGATATACCATGATTTATTATTTCTTTTAATAAGACTTATTACATAAACGGAATGGAAAGAATGAACGAAATATTTATGTATATATTTCAAGTTACAAATATTTTTTAAACTTCTAACTTTTATACAACTGTTATAGGGCACTCTCGAAATTGTAAATAATCTTTTAAGTAATAAGGCCTCGTTTAGTCGGTTGTTCGCGGCTTAAAATTGTAAAACCTTTTTTGATTTTACTCGAAAACTTACGTATCAACGAAAATTTTACGATACGGTCCACTGCAGAACGGCGGTATCCTTTCCACCAATGGAAACAACCCTAGAGTCGTCGTGCAAGAAATTGACTGCCGTCACGTGACTGCTGTGACCTCCATAACTATGACACAGCGACTAAAATTAGATATAATTTTATTAACTAATGTGTTACCTAATATAATAATTTTAAATTTATGGGGAGGGGGGGGGGGTTGTGTTATGTCACGAGCCGCCTCTGCTTAAAGAGCTAGTTATGTAACAAGTTGCGGAATGAATGTTTTAAGCCCTGGACGCAAAATTGTCAATGGACGGACAATGCGCCGAGTGCTTAAAAAACACTCTTTTCGCAACGAATTTCATACAAGATTTTTTTGTGAAAGCGGATAATTTGAGATTTTCATGCTATTATTGTTATTATTTATTTTTAAACATTTTTTAAAATGTTCTGTTAATCGGATTCTAAGACATTGTTTATGTATTGTTTAATGACAAAGTTCTGTCAGGTTCAAACGTCGCCGTATTTCCTACAAAGTTTTGTGAAAAAATGAGTGATAATGACGAGTCTTTGGATATTCAACAAGCTGCTGAAACTGCGCTATCCACGTTAGTGCCCGAGAAGTCGAAAAACTTATACGAGACCACCTACAACTTTGAAACCTGGGTGAAAGAAAAACATGTTGAGAATTTCACAGAAAAGGTATTGCTAGCCTATTTCCTGAAGTTATCCACTACCTTAAAGCCGTCAACTCGGTCGTGTAAATATTCGATGCTTCGCACCATGACTTACCTGAACAGAAACGTAGATATTAGCAAATTCACATACGTCATTGCATTTTTAAAAAGAAATGCTTCCGGATATCAGGCAAAGAAATCAAAAGTATTTACAAAACTGGAAATAGAACGCTGTATGAAAGAAGCCGATAACAAAGAATTCCTGTTAGCTAAAGTTGTCTTAATCGTTGGAGAATTTGGAGCATGTAGAAGGGAAGAAATCACGTTTTTAACCGTAGATGCCATTAAAGATTGTCAGTCATTTATTAGTGTGAAGATTCCGAATACAAAAACTCATTTTCCAAGAGTATTTACGATTACTGACGGACCAATAGATGGTATCAATTTCTTACATGTATTTCGTAAGCACGCAAAATTTCGACCACTCAATGTGACACATCAGCGATTTTTCTTGACGTATCGAAAAAATCAATGCTATACCCTGTCAGTTGGAATCAATACAATTGGAGGTATGCCAAAAAAGGTAGCGGAATTTCTTGGACTCTCCAACGCCATTGAATACACTGGTCATTGTTTCCGGCGCAGCTCTGCAACAATGTTGGCAGATTCATAGATATAACAGTTTTAAAGCGACATGGAAGTTGGCGATCAAGCTCGGTTGCTGAAGGTTACATTGAAAATTCAACTGAACAGAAAACCGAAATAGAAAAAAAGAATCATGGAACAGAAAGATACGCCAAATAAGAAATTAAAAGCAGTTCACGTAGAAGCAGAAGCTACCAGCCAGTACAAGAATTTACTTATTCCGACTCCTACAACTTGCATTTCTCTTAGAGACGAAAAGTTGGATGCCTCTTGTATTCACTTTAATAATTTAAGTAATTGTACCTTTAAGATTTATAATAAATAAATATTTTCATTGTTTCTAACGTTTCATTGTTTACTTTTAGGCACTAGTGCCTAAACAAGTGTCACTTTTAGATACTAGTGCCTAAAAGAATGTAATTTCGAATCTCAACTAAATATTAAAAACTGTCAATTTTGAAACGCTTTCACAAAAAAGTATTTTCGAACTTACTTTTGGTTGTATGACGGGGTAGCTGTATAATTTCACTTTGCCAAAATCGTCAGCTGTTACCATTAGTCTTGAATCGATGCTTCTGTCGCAGTAGTTAATGTCAGAGCCATCTGCGTTTTCCGGCCAAATACCTATCGTATTAAAGGTAAGCGTACACGTGTTTGATGCCCAATCCACGTCACGCATCAGACTGGTTTGGGGTATTTGCCGACAGGTACCAGCATTCCCTGAAACATTTTTATAATATTTATATAATATTCCAAAATAACCATAGGTACGTAAAGTTTTTTTTAAGTTTCTATTTATATTAGGTTAGCACCAACCGACCCTGTATACAGAGTGGTCCGAACCGTATTCAGGAAAGTTTGGTAGCATATTCTGCAGATAAAAATAAGTAAAAAAGTTCGTATAAATGTATGTCCTAAAATGCTCCGTTTCGGAGATACAGAGTGTAGAAATTTCTTTTTTATTTCGATTTTTTTCAAATAATTTCTGAAGTAACGTCTGGGAGTTTTCTAACATGAGGAATTTCATTTTGATGTCAATATGAATCCTATTTGTAGGGGGCGCCACCTACATATGTTTTAATTGTTTTGAAGAGTAATAACGTTTCTCTCTCGTCCGTACCTGTATAAAACTACTGGGTGAAAAAATATACATTTCCGTGATTTTTTACGTAAAAAGTGTATCTTGGTAAAAATCGCTACGAGCAACCGTTCTCAAGATATTTAGAATGGAAACAGTCAATACGTGTCATTATTGACAAAAAATAGCATGTTGAGTAGATAGTTATTTGAATGAAATGATAAATTTGGGAACTTCTTATTTTTTTAAATCGATCCTAAATTTTTCTTCGAAAAAAATATAATAAAACTTTTTTTTTGGTTGAACTTTTGACACAAAATCATTTGAAATTTATGATTTCAGTGTAATAACTATTCCTGTAAAATCAGTGAAATGGCGCTCATCATGTTTTTCACGTGGACCCTTCATATGTAGGTGGCGCCCCCTACAAATAGGAGTCATATTGACATTAAAATCAAATTTCTCATGTCAGAAAACTTCCAGACACCATTTTGAATCCAAATATTGACGTTACTTCAGAAATTATTTGGAAAAAATCGAAATAAAAAAGAAACTTCTACACCCTGTATCTCCGAAACGTAGCATTTTAGGACCTAATTTTTTTACTTATTTTTATATGCAGAATTTGCTGCCGAAGTATCCGGAATACATTTCGGACCACCCTATATATACAGGGACTTTCAAGGAATATTCGTTATTTTCACAAAATTAAAAAAAAATAGTATTTAGTTATTCTATTATTCCTATCAAACAGCATTGTGTAACGTCGCTATAAGTGGAACTGTTAGAACGTTGTTACTGTGTAAGTTGGAAAATAAAAATAAAGTTTGATATTGCCCGTTATCTTCCAGATAGAACATTGTCTAACACTCTTTGAAACAAAACTTTTTCTCAAATTTACAATATTGTATTGTATTGACTAAGAGTGGGGACCCTCCACTGCGGCCGCGAGGGCCTATTGTGGCTCAATTTCTACAAGCTCTAATATACAAAGAGCATTAAAGTTCACTCTCAAGACCCAGCCTTTTAACATAGGCCGTTATGTCCGAGGGTGATATGTCTCCTAGGTCTGATAGGTCTAGCATGGGTTTGCTTAACATCTCAAACCTGGTCCTGTCCCCAGCGGGGCAGGTACACATAACGTCCTTCATTGTTTCGTCATCTTCCATACAGAGTCGGCATTCGGCGTCTTCCACCAGTCCCATCCTCTGTAGGTGAGATCTCAGCCGGCAGTGGCCCGTGTACACTGCAGTGAGTGTACGCGCTCCATTCCTACCGGCCTTTAGGAGTTCTCCTGTTCTATGTTTGGATGGCCCTGCTAGGATTTTCTTGGCATGTTCCAACGTCGCACCCCTAACCCATTCACAGAGCCTGTTTCTTGCGAGATTTTTTGGAACGCTAAGTGTCGGTTCTGGGCCCACGAATGGCGAGCCTGCACCAATTTTGGCGAGGGAATCAGCACGTTCATTTCCCTCTAGGCCGACATGTCCCGACTATATATTAGCGACGCTTTGTTCCTATCTTCTAATATATTGAGTAGTTTCTTACAATGAAGAATCGTCATAGACGTGCTTTTCGTTGCCTCCAGTGCTTTCAGCGCGGCTTGACTATCCGAAAATATGCGTATTGTTTTCCCGGTGTATTGCTGTTCTACCAGCAGTTGCACACAGGTTTCAATAGCATATAGCTCAGCTTGGAAAATTGTGGTGTGTTTTCCAAGACTGTGGTAGATCTTAAATTTACAATATACTTACAATATAATAATTCATAATCTCCCGAATTACTTCTGAGTGTTTGATTATCCAAAGCCCAATCCAGATGAGTTATAAAACTGGAATGTCCCTAAAAATTTACAGATGTTCATAAATTTTCATCATATTTATTTGGAAATTTATTCTTACTGAACAACGCCCAACTCTACTATATTTCATTCCGTCATCCGATACTTGATAGATGTATATCTGGTTATCCCTAGAACCTAGTGCTACCATACTGCCATCTGGAGAGAACTGTATTACTTGGATAGGTTCATTTCCGTCTGTGTGTTGACCTAAAGCAAAATGTTTATTGTGTTCAAGTAAATTTTAAATTAGTATGTCTTCTTTGTACCTAACAGTTCTCTGGTTTGTGTTTCGAATATCATCCATTTACCATTGACACAACCGACTAGTATTACCGATCCATCATGTGAGAAAGCTACACTTTGAGCTTGTTCCTAAAATCGCACGAAAAAAGACTTTTAAGTATAACGCTTAAACTTTTGAAAGTAAAAATATTTACCCCGATATCTTTGCTCCATAAAATACTGTGCGACATTGATTCCCATAACTGTAGGACTCTATCATACCCAGCGGTGGCGAATTGAGGTATGCTTGGGTGTGCTGCCAGACCCCACAAATCATCAGTGTGACCTGTGCGAATAAAAAAGTATTTAAAGTGTTGCAAAATATTTATAACAGTGTTCTGTTTACCTAATATTATTGGTTGGAATCCTAAGTCGGATGTTCCAGTTAAGATACAATTTTTTGTTGTACCGACTAAAAGTTGTGAGCCTCTTCCTTCTGAAATGACTCTTACGCCACCATAATGAGGTTCAATCTGAGAATATAAAGAATAATATACAGATAATCTTCCTACCCTATATATTGTATTAACTATCATATAACATTACTAATCAGTAATGCAAATGTTAAGGTAACTATCCGTTCTGGACTGCGCCAATTTAAAATAGGAAATAACTTTAATAAACATACCTCACTAAATCCAACTGTACGTAAATTGTTATCCAGTTGGACTATTCTTCCATCTTTTCCACCGCCCGTTACCACACTGCCATCTTTCAATACACATATCGAAAATACGCTTCCCTCGTGGACGTTTTTAACTAACTTCCAAATGGTGTTAGTACCTCGACCCCAGACAGCTAGATTGCCATTGGAATCACCTAAAAATATTTAACATTTATTTATACCATACTTTGAAGTATAGGGACGCCCCAGTTTTCAAGAACAAATCTATTATTTTTTATGTGTAACAAAATTTGTTATACAGTATTACATTGTAGACCGTAGTCTGCCCAACTGTCTGGAAGGATTCCTGACAGTGAGAGTTTTTATGTTTGTCACTTTAATTCGCAAACAAATGGTATTTTCTGTAATTTTTTGGATGTCATCTGTAGAAATCTTCCCCGAGTCGTTGGACAGACTATACCATGCATGTTCGGTGGTAAATAGTATACATACCTGTCACTGTTTCTCCAGTTTGTAAGAACGCTACGCAGGTAACGTATTTCGGTTTATCTCTTGTTTCAAATATTCCCATTCTTTTGTACAATGTTCCATTCACGTCCAATGACCAAAACGCTATATGCGACTTTCCGCACGTTACTATCGTATTCCGGTCTATAGGGTGGAACTCCACAGCTACAATTGTATCCACCGAACTCTGTAAAGATATATAATTTATATTGTAGCGATTAATTTAGTTATTTCAAGGCAAAGTGGTTATTAAACTTATGAATAGACCTATTATATCAAAAATACCAACATAACATACCTTTGTTTCTGTAATTTTGTATCCATTTTCACCTTTTTGCCAATCCCACACCGATATGGTATGATCGGTGGAATCGTCAATGGCAACTAGTAAAATCCCGCCATCTGCTTTCGAGAAAGACAAGCAACAAACGGCGATACTGAAGTCGTTAATACCGATAACACTCTGTGTATGCAGGGTAACAGAGTTCCATACCCTAATGTGCGCCTAAAAAAACAATAGAAACAGCTTTAGTATAGAATGTTTAACATAGAAAGTATCTTGTACAATGTCGGCAAGAGAGAGTCCTGGGTCAGTATTGATATGTAAAAAAATGTCTTGTAAATCGGACAGAGGAAAAAGGGTTTATGACATAATTACTTAATAATAATAATAGCTCCCCTATATAGCGTTCAACGCCTTGGGAGTAGCAAGGTTTTCCATACTAGAGCCGTTCGGTATAAAAGCAAGGTAATGTGTTAACCGCCTAATTACGCCTTATTTCATGCGCTTTGTAAAATACCTGCTCTTCTCTTTGTTCAGTACATTTTAATCTACTGAAAGAATTGACTATTATACTCTTCGTACATACGAAAATCGGCACTCAAAGCCAGTCTTTGCCGACCGAGTATAGAGTAGGTACAAACAAACAAACAACAAACAAACAACGCTTTATTGTACAAAAAGCCAAAACGGCTTCATCGACAAAGCACTCACAAAACAAACAAAAGCACAAAAAAACACAAACAACAAAAAATACACAATACAAATAATACAATTCAAAAAAATTTAAGTCATTAAAATAACAAAAAGAATATACCGTATGATCGAATAAAAACGGCGTCAACGATGGCTATGAAATGAAGATCGCTGTCATTTTATATGTAAAATTATATGGGAAATGTCATCGATCGTTATTTCCAAGCCAACTGGACGCCGTTTTTTTCGATCATACGGTACATGGACAATTGCAGAACAGTACGCAGTAAACAGATATAATTTTAGAGTTATAAAATATTAAATACTTGAGACCTTTGACTAGTGTGTGAGATGATCAAAATTTTAAAATTCAAAATTGTTCATAATTAAACATCAACAAAAAAGTCGTTTACCGTATATAGGGCTCTCTCTAGTAAGTATGATTTTAGAGCTTTGCGAAATGCGGGAAAGAATGAAAGCAACTTGATATTCAAAGGCAGATGATTGTACATTTTTTTGGCATTGTACAGTATTGAACCTTTAACTAGTTCTGAGCTCGGGGTTGGCAGATAAAGATCGTGCTCCGCATTCCTAAGTGGATAGTTATGAGATGGCCTTTCGGGAATAGCAGATATGTGCTTGCGGATTAAGCAAACGGATTCAAAAATGAATAAAGAAGTCAGTATTTTGAAATGTTTAAAGAAATTCTGGCAGTGAGTTCTACTGTTCAGTCCCAATAAATATCGAACTGCTCTCTTTTGAAGTCTGAAAATACGATCAAATTTTGTTGTGCACCAAGTACCCCAGAACGGAAGGGCATAACGAAGATGTGACTCAAAAAGGGCATAATAGCTATTCTAGAGGTTGAGAAGTTCAGTTCCTTAGAAACTGATCTTAGCGCAAAACAGGCAGCGCTTAGTTTCTTTGATAGAGCTTCGATGTGAAAGTCCATTTTAACGAGTTGTCTACAACAAGTACTTGAGAGTAACAGTGACAGCTATCCGTGATTTAACCCTTTAGAAGTGCTTCTCTAAAAACTGGTCTGCAAAACAGTCTACAGAGCACAAAAAGTTTTTTTTTATTAAAAGTTTATGAAGGGTTTCAAATAACTGACATCAACACTCTCACTCCCACTCTCAAGAATATCAGTAATAAACATAGTAAAGCTCTAGTAATAGCATAGTAATTTTGTGCTCGGTATTTTAAGTATAGATTAAATGGTTTTTATTCTCTTTATACTTACCCTACTATTTAATTTATCGACCCCGGCAGCTTGACCAGTGGCTACCAACATTTTGTTTGGGTGTATCGCTAAACTAAAAAAAGAAAAAATCTGTTTGATGTCCTTGAAGATAATGATGAGGATCGATAATGATGTACAACTTTAAATATTTCATAGCATGATTACGATGGATAGAAATCAATACGACCTTCATATTTAAATAAACCAAACTAACTAGGACAAAAAATGGAGCATTTTACATTAAATCTTAGTTTTAAAAAATAACTTTTTTATTTTATAGATTTTCTTCTAGCTGCCAAAAAAGGTCTTTTCAAGAAATGTTATTTGTTATTGTATGAATTATATTTTTATTGGAAGATGAATACATAGTTCTGAAATACCTTTTAATATCATCGGTGTGCTCTAAATAATGTCTTTGATGTTGCTCTTCGGCGTTGTATAGGACTACTACCGCGGCTACGAAATAAACCATTTCGCCGGTGGGTAGGGAATAAAGGTTAGATCTGCAATCTCTACCTCTGTAGCCGTATACCCAGTCCAGTTTGAGCCTTTGGGTCGGAGCTGTCGATACCTATATATCACATAATCAATTTATCAGCATAAAAAAATAAAACATAGTAGAATAGCATAGCATTGTAAATCTATACTAATATATAAAATCCTTAAGTGACTGACATACTGATTAATCACGATCCTGATCAAACCACTCAACGTAAGAAGTTCAATTTTGGCATACAGGTTGATTCTAGGGTGTAGATAGGTCGATTCTAGGGTTCGATAAGAAGGGATTTTTCGAAATTCCAGTCCCAAGAGGGTAAAACCACCCCTCAAATATTACAATATTTTTTATTTAAAAAACGGTCAAGTTTCCGAAAAAACGCTTAAACACGTATATTTTATTTTGTTTTTTTACATATTTTAAGATTTTTTAAAAATGTATACAGGGTGTTTTGAAAAATCTGGTCATTGATTAATCACGATTCTGTTTAAAGCGCTTGACGTAAAAAGCTGATTTTTGGAAAACGGATTGACTTTAGGGTGTAGAAGTTCGATAAGAAGGGATTTTTCGAAACTCGAATTCTAAGGTAGTAAAACTATCCCTCAAATATTAAAATATTTTTTATTTAAAAACCGGTGAGTTTTTCGGAAAAACTCTTAAACACGTATATTTTATTTTGTTGTTTTACATATTTTAAGATTTTTTATAAATTTATACAGGGTGTTTCATAAAATATGACCTACTCAATGGTCATATTTTATGAAACACCCTTTGAATCACGATTCTGCTTAAACTGCTTGACGTTTAAAGCTGATTTTTGGCAAACGGATCGACTGTGGGGTGTCGAGGATCGATAAGGAGGGGTTTCTCGAACCTCAAATTCCAAGAGGGTGAAAACGCCCCTCAAATATTACAATATTTGTTATTTAAAAAACGGTTAGTCTTTCGGGAAAACGCTTGGACAAGCATAACTAATTTGGCTTTTTTACATATTTTGAAATTTTTTAAAAAATCATACAGGGTGTTCCAAAAAGTTGGGTAACATTTTAACCACGATTCTGCTTAAACTGCTTGACGTAAAAAGCTTATTTTTGGCAAACGGATTTTTCGAAAGTCAAATTCCAACGAGATGAAACTACCCCTCAAATATTACTAAGTTATATAATAATATCGCCATATTGTTTTTTCTCATGCTGACATAAATGTGAGAAAATTTTATCCAGTTTGTATGTTAATGGAAATTCTTGCTTTGCTTTATCATCACCATTACAAATGATTAATTCGACGAGAACGAAGTCGCTGGTACACGCAAGTATTCTATAATATTCTTAGAATATTATACTACAATATTTTTTTAGATTAGTGTTTTTTATACTAATGGGGTAGTATATGGTCGGTACGTCGCACAGTGTTGCAGCCCATGGACAAAAATACGAGAATCCAAATTTAAATTCGAATTTAAAAAATGTCAAAATAAAAATACTAAATTTACCACAATACACCAAAACACTTTTACTTTTACACCGGACACGCGTTTCGCTAACCATGTTAGCATCATCAGCAGTAATTAAAAAATGTGTTCTTTTAACAGTAAAATATCCGTACTTATAAAATAAATTCAGGAATGCCTTCAGGTCACAAAAATTTGTTTATATTTCTATAAAAAAATTACTCGATAAAGCATTAAGTATTGAACGTTTTCGCTGTCATTTTAGTAGCAGATTGTTTCTTTAATAGCATTTATATAAGTTTTATTTTGCTATGTTTGCTGTTAGTGAAGGTAAGTGTATTAAAAATAGTTAACAGAAATCGTATGAGTTCATCACACTAAAATATGGATGGCCAAACATAAAGAACATAGAAATCGTATCGCAGTGTACAGTAAAAGAACTTAAAAAGAAAAAAGAAGCACTAGCAACGACAATTTCCGGACGACCGGTATCCATGGATTAATAATTAATTAAATAAAAACGCCATTAAAAAATAAAGAAGAGTAAGAGCCAAGTAAATGCCGTTTAGGGCTGGACCTCGCCAAAATTATCATAGATTATCATTCCCTAGCTGTCTTTGACGCCGTTTTTTTTCAATAGTATGGTATAAGTGATCTTTTCAAATTGGTACTCTGCAATGGCGCTAACTATATCTAAATATCTAAAACCCTTCTAAACTATAAAATACTCTTACCTTAGTTATTTCATAGTTATCAGTAATTTCTGTAGGGGCGTACAATATTATCGGTCTGCCTTTAAGGTAGAGTTTTACGGTTTTCTCCTCTTCATTGTACTGAGCGTCTTTTGTTCTAAAAAATAATTTCTTTTAGTATGATACTTGTACACATAGAGCTTAGGTACGTGCAGGTGAAATTTTGAAAACTGTTGAATTTAGGCATACACAAATAGAGAGGCATAGACGACATTATATTATACAAAGTTACCTTTATTGTTGACTTAATGAAATAAAAAATGTCAATTATTTGGAGATTGTTAAATGCATTACAGCTCACAATAGAACTCAATGGAGAAGGGTTGTAAACTCAGTTAATAGCGGCAACCAAAAAGTAGAGAGGCAACAAAGCAATGGGATTTTTGAATGTCCGGAGTGCGGTAGGCAGATAACATCACGTATCGGGCTTTTCAGTCACAGAAAAGCTCATGAAAGAAAACGTCTTGCGTGACCATTTTCTTTATGTGTGTCGAATACTCGTCAGCGAGTAACGGCTGTATGTATGTATGTATGTAATACTATTTTAGGGATACCCTGAGTATTTCAAAATTTTTAACGGTTTCGTATATTCACGGTTTTATATTTTATATGGCATTTTCCACAGTAAATTTTTATCAAAGCCACTCAATGATTTTTGTCTCGTATTTTACAGTTGAAAGGGCCATATGAAATATATCTGCGAAACCGTTAAAAATTTTGAAATACTCTAAATATAATAAATGTTCATTTTTTAATTCTTCATCTAATAAAAAAATAATCTAGAGGGTGTTGTAGAGAAAAATTATTTCACCATTTAAAAAACTGAAGAAAATTTATCTAATATTTTAGAAAGTTTGGTGTAGAATTTTGAACACGCTGTATGATTTAAGGTTCTAATATAGTAAAGTTAAATGCAGACTATCTAAATTAAATACCTAATAGAGTTTTGATTTCAGAACAGTTCTTGTATTTTTAAAAATTTTGAAAAGTTGATAAATATATATTTTTTATTTATTTATATAGAAGTTAAAATATTTTCCTTAAATACATCCTTGTACATACTTTAAGTTTGCACTTAAACAAAATTCTGAAGTGTTTTATTCTATTCCGACGCACTTTTGCCGGACCCTGTATAGCAAAGCAACATACAGGGTCGCTGATATGTATGGAAACGGTCGATTATAAGGTAAAATATAAGAGGTACCTCAAAAAGTTAAATATAAAAGTTATAGGGTTTTCAAATATCTATTAGCGGGTAATAAATTTAATTATACGGGGTCGGTCATAAAGTTGTGGCACATCAAAGTTTCATTTTTTTAAATGGAACCCTCTGTATATTATCGCATATTTCGGTTGTGACTAGTAGTGGGAACTATCGAATGAATACTATCGAAACATCCGATAGTTGCAATTCATTCGAATAATTCGATAGCTAGTAAGAAAACATTCGTCGAAAACTATTCGAATAAAAATTATCGAATAGATGCGTCATCTGCCTTGAAATATTGTATTCTAGTAATTCGGCAGCAAAAACCATTTATTTATAAAATTCATTCATTTATCAAATTCATTTATTCGTCAGGATCGATTTTAATGAAATATAAACTGGATTTTAGTTGTCGTCCGGCGACGTAGGTTTCTTTCCTAGAAACCCGACAGCGGTCGGTGGCAATGCCACAATGCCACACAATGCTATGAAAGAAGCCGGCATCTTTGATTTTTTGCGGAGTCAAATAAAGATAAGGACACATTATTTTTTTATTGAGGTGCTAGTATTTACACAGAAAATACATTATGAAGGGCGCTGTTGCCATATATTCGTATTAGTTGGTATTAGCAAAGAATATTATTCTTTAGCATTAGTTAGTTAGGGATAGTATGTCTAATGTTTTGCATTTTTTTTATTAATATTCTGTTATTACACTGCAATAATACTTTCTATTTTGGATGTAGAAAAATGTTTTTTAATGTTTTTAAGCAAAGACTGGTTTAATAAATAATAATAACAGTAATAATTTGTTATACCTATTAACAACAAAATTTAAAATCATTTAATAATATAAACATTTTTTTTAAGTAGTAGCAAAATATAAACAACAAATAGAAGTCAAAAGTATATATATTAGATCCTATTTAAAAATAATATAGTCTCTAAATGGCAAGGTTGGTTTATTAAATAATAATAGTTACAGAACTAATTTGTTATATTAACAACAAATTTTAAAATCATGAAATATAAACATTTATTAATTTTCTAAGCATGCAAGTGTAATGGAAGGAAAATATAAATAAAAAATTAGAAATAAAAATTATTTATATTACTTTTTATTACTTTATATTACTATTTAAAAATAATATTTACTTTTACTGGCATTTACTTTAAAAAATAAATGAAATATTTCTTCGCAAAAAACTACATGTAAGAGAATTAGCATAAACAAAATACAAACACTGTTAACTTTTTTTTTAAATTGGCACTGTAAAACTTTCAATTTAATTTTATCACCCCAAAATTTGAGTTCGATAACCTTTTTTACTTAACCACATTACTTAAATATCATTATTAAGTTCAACTAATTCATATTATTAAAACATCTAAAATACAAATATGTATTTTAAAATTAATTGTAAGTTCATCTCATCTCTCTTAAAAATTGCTACTTCTCAAAATTTCCCATTAAAAAATGCAATCTAACCTAACCATAATATACCATATAAAATTAAATAATTGAAAGATCGGGCTACAGAAAATCACACAAATTTTCGGAAAAATTTTGACCACTTCGCACACAATCGTCAATTAAAAAAAACTACTATTTTAGTATTTTAAATATTTTAATAAACGCAAAAATAGCATAGTATTTACAAGACGAAGTTATAAAAATTTGGAAAAACTAATAATGCACTGACGCACACAAAAATCAAACGAATACTAAATTTCATTTATCAAAAGCATTCGATAGTCGTGGCTCGTGGCGCAACGATAACCATTTAGTCGCACGGCGAGGTTGTCACTTATGCTTTAGTATACAAATGAATGAATGATTTTATTCGAATAAAACCATTCGATAGTTGAAATCATTCATTCAGTAACCATTCGATAGTCTAATTCATTCGATAGTTCCCATCGCTAGTTGTGACCTCAAACCACCCGTTTCCGAGTTATTGACTTTTGAAAATATCACTTAAACAATTCGATTTAATTAATTTCGATGTGTTCGGTTTCATTTAGCGATGCTATTCTGCGGAAACTGTGATACTTTAATAATATTTGACATTAGTTTTCAAGTTACCATTTATAGATGTATAAAATGAGATTAGATCAAGTCTGGAAATTACAAAATTTTCGTACAAATTACAAACATTTTAAAATCAAAACTTCATAATTCGGAAATTGTCGAATTTAGGTACATTATGTGTATTACGATTATGTATCATAATAATCGATCGTTCCCGTACATATCAGCGACCCTGTATAATCGAGCATATACAGGGTTGTTCACCACATACGACACGGAGTATTGTAGCTAAACGATGAGATTTTTACAAATTGTAAGTTTGGGGTTCGTTGAAGGACTATTAGAGGTACAATTTAAAAATATTTTTACAAGATACAGAGTGTCCCAAATAAGTAAAAAATATCAAAGTTGTATTTTTTTAAATGGAACACCCTGTATATTATTACATTTTTAGTTTCTACGATTAAAATAAAGGTAAATTTGATTAAGGTTTATTATACTTAAACATTACGTTTTTGAAATATTTTCAATTTTGTGAAATTGCAGTAAAAATTTTAAAGCTTTATTTCTCCAAGGGTATCAATGTTTTTAATACTAAATATTTAATGAAGTTTATTTATTGATCAGTTATTGTGTTGCAATAATAAAAATAATACTACTTTATAGAGAGTGTCTAAAAATTTACTTTAAATAATTATTAACTTCAAACGGCAACAACTTCTTTAATTTAAATAGAATGCCCTGTATATTTTAGGAAAATCAGATGCACAATTAAATTGTCTATCAAATTGTATTATACCATTTTTTACCTATCCCTTCAAGTTTTCGTAGAAAATGCATTTTCTTATAATTTAGACCTCATTTATCAATATATCCATGGAATATTGACATTTTAGATTGTTTTTAAAGCAACAAATGTACAAAATGTACAGACAAATGTACAAAATGTATAGAAAATGTTTGAAGCCCATTTGTATGCAAAAAGAAAACTATTTAAAACTTTATAAAAGAGTATACCATTAATTAAATATAACACCATTATTTCCGCCCATATACTAATTAATTACATACTTAATTGTGTCCGTTAATAAATTATTATCAATAAATGTGGATTTGAGTCAGAAATCAATATAATAATAAGTTATCAAATTAAAGTCTCTGTTGTTATAAATAAGCATTTATTAAAAAATGAAATATCATTTTTAAGGTGTTACTTTTTATCACACTGTCTAATGCCCATACAAAATTCAGTTTTTTAGTATTTGGAGCAATTATTATTAATCAATGCAAACAGTCAGTTAATGTAGTTTGAATACTGGATCATATTAATTGGTCCTCTTTAACAAATATTTGAACAGTTTTTTTTTATTTTTTAATGAAATAAACGAATTATATCGACAATATTAGTATCTGTACTCTTTAAAAATTTGATACATCTTTAAAAATAATCTAAAATGTCAATAGTCCATGGATATATTGATAAATAAGTTCTAAATTACAAGAAAATAAATTTTCTACGGAAACTTAAAGAGATAGGTAAAAAATGGTATAATATAATTTGATAGACAATTAAATTGTGCATCTGATTCTTGTAAAATATACAGGGTGTTCCATTTAAATTAAACAAGTTATTGCCGTTTGAAGCTAATAATTATTTAAAATAAATTTTTAGACACTCTGTATAAGGTAGTATTATTTTTATTATTGCAACACAATAACTGATCAGTAAATAAACTACAGTAAATATTTACTATTAAAAACTTTGATACCCTTGGAGAAATGAAGCCTTAAAATTTTACTGCAATTTCACAAAATTGAAAATATTTCAAAAACGGTAAGGTTTAAGTATAATAAATCG